GGAATGGGTGCCAGCTAGGGATGGTGCCTGACAGGGTGACAGTGGAGGTGGAGCAAGAATAAGTGAGTGATAAGAGTAGAGGTTCTTCAGAAACCGCCCCCCTCCCCCGCCCCCCATCCAGTTAAGGAGCAGAACCCTGGTGGCTTATTGGTTTGAGTTGAGGTGCTAATTTCAAGAGCAGTTGGAAACCAAGAAGAGTCTTTCCCCTCCCTTAGAGTTATAGCCTTAGAAACTTACAGGGTCAGTTCTACCCTGTCCTACAGGGTAGGGTCTCTCTCAGCTCTATGGCAGTGGTGGTGGTGGTGGGAAGAATCCGTGGCAGCTCAGACCCTACCCCCGCCTGCCTGACAAAGCCTGAGGGCTCAAGCCCATGGCCCAGTTGGCTGTCTCACCTGCCTGTATCCTATCCATCCATGGTCCAGTGCTGCAGGAGTCTGGATTTGGGGTCTTTAAAGCCATTAGGGAGGAAATAATAAAAGGAGAGCAACTTTATCTTAAAAAAACAGAAAACCTCCCCCATGAGACCACAAATTCTTAACATCCCTTCAGACAAGGTGACCCAACGTGGTTAGAAAGTTCCTATGAAAAGACAAAAGAGCTGTATGGCCCCCAATAAAATGATTAAAAAAACAAAGACAAAAGGCCTCTCCAGTTGTCATCTGCTGTTATATCAACTTGCTCATATCTTTCTAGTGAATCCCCTCTTTGATTTAACTGGTCAAAGTCCATGCAAACTGTTTGTAATCCAAGAATCCCAACACACTAAGCCAATTAAAGTATCAAACTGATTATTTTATGATTTTGATAATCTTGATTTAAAATTCTTAGGACAGAGTAAGTCTTTAAGAACTGCCAAGATATGATTGAACTATTGAATTGTATACATGGATGAAGTGACAATAAAACTGTTTAACAAACAAACAAAAGAACTGCCAAGAATGTCCTGAAAACAAAAGAAAATATTTTCCCTACCACATACTAGAAATGCCCTATAAACTATAACAATTGAAACAGGGTGCCGGATGGGGTTGCAAGAATAGGGTGAGCAATTGGACAGAATCCATAAACAGCCCCCAAGAGACACAAGCACAGGTAGTCTCAGGTGGTGCAGGGGGTTCCTGACCACACCTAAAGCTGGGCAGTCCTAACCCACACAGCAGCAGCACAAAGGCCTGGCGATCTGCTTTTGTAGAGATCACAGCCAGGAACTGTGTTTGCCTCCGGGACCTATGTGGTCACCAGGAGTTGAAACTGACTTAACAGAAATGGGTTGGTTTTTTTTTTTCTTCTAGATGTGGGCAGCTCCTTGAAATGCTGTCAGGGCATGAGTATGTATTCCACTTCTGGTTCTAGGTTTGTTTTGTTTTTTTTTGGAAATGCCTTTCCAATGCTTTTTGCCTTTCCATTGTCTGGATGCCAACAAAAATGCCCTAGTTTCTGTTTGTGACACAAGATGAAAACTTTTGAAACTCCATGAATCACTTTGGGGGAAAAACTGGACAGTATCTATTGGGATTTAAAATATGGGTACCCACCTGTATTGTTAGGAAAAGAATAGAGGGGCTGGAAAGTTCCACTGAGAAAAACATCCTAAGAATAAGGGAGTAGTCTGGAAGAATTCAGCTGATGAACTGCAGAAAAAATACTGATTCAAGGACCCTGCGATTAGAGAACGCTCTCCCAGCTTGAGAATGTATGGTGGGGAAAGAAACAACCCGAGAAACCTCTTTGCTTGTTATAGTAAAAATCACCCCCACGAGTGCTACGACAGTTTACCATTCCCTAGGAGATCGCGATAGCGCTTCCAACCTGACCAAATCATGGCGAGTGAGGGATGGGGTCCAAATTTATCAGAAGTTCCCTCCAATTCTCCCTGCCCCTTAGTCATGAATATTCATCCCATTAGTTACATTTGTAAAAGTAAAATAAGGACCTCTGCATTGAACCACTCTGGGTTGTCTCCACTGCACAGAGCTAACCCACTTCTTCCTTGGAACATAGCTTCACTTTGAAAGAGATGCTTGGCGGAGGGGAGTGGGAGGCCTAGGACATCCAGAGAGAGTCACAGTGTAATAACTTTATTTCTCAGTGAGTGATGAAAGAATAATTTCATATTATGAATAAAAGTATCACTAAACTGACACCGACTACCTCTAGTTTCCTATCATTTTCCCTTGATTTGAATATGTCACAAAATTGGATTACTAGTAGGTGTGGCCAAATGCTAACAGTCCAAACAACTTGCTTTTTGTTCTAGTTTTCTCTCCCAATTCCAGCACTTCTATCAGTAATTTTGTTGAGATTACATTATATTTATAAATTAATTGATGTAGAATAACATGTGTGTATTGGTTCTAGTGTTGTTTTGTTCCTTAAATAGGATATTAAAGTTTCTTTATGTAAATTTGCATGTTTCTGCAATAATCACCATTCTTTTTTTGTTTTGCCAGTCTTGTATATTTCATAATTGATAGGAAGGTGCTTTCCCAAACCTCAGAAGAATCTCAAAAGACTTTAAGGGTGCCCAAATGAAGTATGATATCTGTATGTCACTTGCTGCCATCAGTCAATGCTGACTCACAGCCACCCCTTATGGGTTTTTGAGACTGTAAATGATGACGCCAGTAGAAAGCCCAGTCTTTCTCCCATGAAGCTGCTGGTGGTCTCAAACTGCCCACCATGTGGATCGTAGCCTAATGACTAACCACTACACCATCAGGGATCCACTCAATACGTCACAGTCAGTGTTAAATTCTACAAGGTCAATTACTGAAAAACTCACTGACTCAGTGACCCTATAGGACAGGATTGAACTGCCCTTGTGTTTCCGAGACTGGAACTGTTCACAGAACTAGGTAGCTCAGTCTTTCTGATCTTTAGGTTAACAGTCCAATGCATAACCACTCCACTACCAGGGCTCCTCACACAATGTCAGTTACTAAAGTAAAATTCAATCTTCGATAGCAAAAATAACCCACTCACTGCTCTTGAGCTAATTCTGACTCATAGTGACCTCCAAGCAAGACAGGACTGACCCGTGGGTTTCCCACTGTACATCTCTATGGATTAGAAAGCCTCGTTTTTGTGCTGATAGCAAAAATGCAACGAGTAAATTCTATTTTGTATGCCAAACAAGTACACATTATGTGCCCAAGGTTAAGATTTTCATACAATGGCAACTTAGAAACTCTAAAGAAAGCTGCTTGTGAACAAATTTTCAACTATGTTTTAAATTCTCTAAGCACTTGGTCAGTATTTCAAAATGGAGCTTAAGTTGAGAGACAAACATGAACTGCACATAATGAAAAATACTTAGATAAATATGTACAAATAAGATGGGTCCGACAGGGAGAAAATGTAAAACTTCTAAGAAATAAAGCATGGGTGAAGTACAGTGCAAAACTAATGTAACTAATTCATAGAGTTAAAAAAAAATCACTCTAAGCAAAACACTGAATCTTTTTTTTAAATCGTTTTATTAGGGGCTCATACAACTCTTATCAATTGTGTAAAGCACATTTGTACATTCATTGCCCTCAATCTTCTCAAAACATTTGGTCTCCACTTAAGCTCCTGGCATCAGGTCCTCATTTTTTCCCCTCTTTCCCCGCTCCCCCCTCCCTTATGAACCCTTGATAATTTATATATTTTTATTTTGTTATATCTTGCCCTGTCCCATGTCTTCCTTCACCCACTTTTCTGCTGTCCGTCCCCCAGGGAGTAGGTCACATGTAGATCCTTGTAATCGGTTCCCACTTTCCACCCCACCCTCCTCTACCCTCCTAGTATCCCAACTCACACCACTGGTCCTGAAGGGATCATCCGCCCTGGATTCCCTGTGTTTCCAGTTCCTATCTGTACCAGTGTACATCCTCTGGTCTAGCCAGACTTGCAAGGTAGAATTGGGATCATGATAGTGCGGGGTGGGTGGAAGCATTTTGGCAATAGATGATGCTCACCTTCCTGACACAACCGCTGAAGACAAAGCAGGTGCATAAGCAAATGTGGTGAAGAAAGCTGATGGTGCCGGCTATCAAAAGATACAGGGTCTGGGGTCTTAAAGACTTGAGGATAAACAAGCGGCCATCTAGCTCAGAAGCAACAAAGCCCACATGGAAGAAGCAAGTCAGCCTGTGTGATCACAAGGTGTCGAAGGGCTCAGGTATCAGGCATCATCAGAACAAAAAAATCTTATCATTGTGAATAAGGGAGGCGGGACTGCAGAGTGGAGACCCAAAACCAATTTGTAGGTCACTGGACATCCCGTTACAGAAGGGTCTGGGCGAGGAGACGAGCCAGTCAGGGTGCGATGTAGTAACGATGAAACACTGAATCTTTTAAACCAGTTTTGCCCTTCCTGGTTAGCCATTCCGTGGGCTGCGGTCCTCCACTGGACACCAGCAGCAGCTCCGCGGGAGAAAGCCTGGGAACACGCCGGGTGGCTAAGAGTCAGCACTGACTCAAGGCTTCCCCCACCAGCTCCTGTCCCACCATCGTGTGAAACGACGCCTGGCACTAACTGAATCCCGGGGCCCTCTTGCCTGACTCCGGCGATTTTAGCGGAAACACAAGAAAATCCTCAGCTTAGTGCCAAGTGCAAAGCAAACGCACGTCGACACTCACACTCTTCCAGGAGTCCAATACGCGAGCTGAGCGTGACCATTTGGGGACTCTTCAAAAACCAAAGGAAACTCACTGCGTGGATTTCAACGCACTTGGCCCTGCAAAGAGGAAGTGCACCTGACGGTGTCAGACTGTTTACCGAGTAGAAAGCCTCCGCTCTCTCCCGCCGTAACCCTTCAAGCCTCCGAAGGGGCCGCTCTCCAACTGTCACCGGAAGCGGACTTTCCCAGCGCGGTCAGCGTTCTCAGGTCTGCGCATGCCCCGTACATTAAACAGCGCTCCTCCCCCTGATTGGCGAACCCAGTGTGTATGCTCATTTACGACAGCCGTAAAGTGGGGTTTCTCGACGGCTTCCTAGCTTTACGGCGACAACAACTATGGCTGCTGCCAGTGGTAGATTTGAAAGTGCGAGGAGTATCGAAGAACGCAAAGCACAGACCAGGCTTGCCAGGGCCGAAGTGTTGCGCCAGGTATCTCTATCTGGGGACAGTGTGGAGCCCTTCGCCACTGTGGGAGGGTCCCCGAGATTTGGCCTTTTGTCTGCAAGACGTTAGCGGGTTGGTCTTCTCTTGGGACTGCTAAAGTCATCCTTGGGGTTACCCCCAAACGGAGGTTACCTTCTTCATGTGACATGGTCTGACTGGCGCCACTGTTCATTCTTTTTTCAGAGCCACCTGTTCCTCATCTCAGTTTCAATGTCTTTTAAAGCATCCCTTTTGACTTTACTGCTTCCTGGACCCTGCACCTGTAGCGACTCTGCACTATATAGTAATTTACAGCCTTAGTCCTTGCTCTTATTGTATCTGAAATTAAAATTCTCATTTTGAAAGGAGCACGTGGAAAACATTGTAGTAGACTGTATTCGAAAATTTCATTTTCTTGTCTTAATATTGTTGTTAGTTTCAGGATTACTAATTCAGAAAGTTTGACCTCTTGAAAAAGATAGAGAGCCATTGTATTCTGTAGATCAAGATGCAGAAGTGATATACAAAAACTAGAGGAGGAAATAAACCATTGAATTGTCTAACAAGCTAATTCGAGTTGTTTGATAATAGAGGAGAAGAGTTATAGTTGGAGAAGAACGTAGGGTAAAAATGGGACTACAAGATTGTTTGACCGATGAAACATACAGCTTTCCTCTGGTTCTTTAATGCTTCCTCCCCCAGCTATCGTGACTGTAATTCTACCGTACAAACCTGGCTAGATAAGAGCATGCACATGGGTACAGATAAGAGATGGAAACACAGGAAATACAGGACAGATAAACTCCCCGGGACCAATATTGAGAGTAGCCATACCGGGATGGTAAAGGAAGAGTGGGGGTAGAAGGGGGAACTGATCACAATGACCTACTATAACCCCCTCCCAGGGGGATGGACAACAGACAAGGGGGTAAAGGGAGACATCGGACAGTGCAAGTCATGAAAAAATAATTTATAAATTATCAAGGGTTCATAAATTATCAAGGGGAAAAATGAGCTGATACCAAAGCCTCAAGTAGAAGGAAAATGCTTTGAAAATGATGGCAACATATGTGCCAGTGTGCTTGACACGATGGATGGATGGATTGTGATAAGAATTGTAGTAGCCCCCAATAAAAGGATTTATAATTTAAAAAAAGATTGTTTCATGACAGGGATTTTAAACGAGATTACATGTAAAATGCGAAGGAATCAGTAGAGTAGGGATGGTAGTAGATACCAGAAGGCAAAAGGCATAATTATTAGAGTTATATCTCAAAGTGGAAGAGTAGTTAATTAATCACGGACAGGTGCAAGATGGTATTGCGCCCTGACTTCAGTGTATTTAATCTGTCTGTGTAGTAAATATTCTTCATCTTGACTCTGACAAAAATTTCAAGCGGAAATACTTTTGAGCAGTTTTTCGAGGGAGTAGAATTTGTAAGCATACTTTTAAATCTTTAAATCTTCAAAAGTCATATCTGCAAGGAGTGGGGGGCAGTGAGTATGTGTTGAGTTGCTAACCGCAATGTTAGCAGTTTGAAACCACCAGCCGCTCTGTGGGAGAAAGAAAGGCCTTATACTCTCTTAAAGAGTTACGGTCTTGGAAACCCACAGGAGCAGTTCTACCCTGCCTGATGGGGTCACAATAATGAGTCACAATAATGGGGTCACAATAAAGGACTCCCTGGCAATGAGTTTATTTTTTTTTTTGGAAGCCATATCAGCAAACTTGGCTTTATTTGTTCTCATTTAGGGCTTTATTTGTTCTCATTTAGTGTTCTTGTGAAAGATTTATTCATTGATATCTAAATGTGACCATTTTGAGGTTTTGGTGAAGCTTGTTGGATGTTATTGGTGGGCAGGCAAGGGAGAACATTTTTATTTGTGAAAGAAGAGGTGGTTGCATAGCAGTTCTGAGGTGACTCAGTTGGCAAAGAATAGCGATCTGTTAGATTGTTGAAAAGGAACTATATTACAGAGCGTGAGACAAGGCCTGATAACTCATTAGAACCTGAGAGAATGAGACGATTTCATGCCCAAGGAGATGCTGAGGCAAGTTGGAAATATCATAGCCATTCCTCATAGCCCTGCCATGTTCTTTTGGTCTAGGGGGAAAGTTCTGCAGAGATTTAGATCAGCTAAGTTTGGGTTTAAGAAGCCCTAGTGCTTTACTGTGCTACCTGTTGGGCTGCTAATGAGGGTTAGTACGTCAACCCCACCAGCTGCTCCATAGGAGAACGATGGGTCTATAGCGTTGGAAACCCTAAGTGACCCCAAAGTCAGAATCGACTGGATGATAGTGGGTTCAGGTTTAGGTGTGGCCACCCAGTGGGTTATTTTACTTTTTTGACTGCTGTAGACTTGCGATAAATTACCCAGGTAGATGTTTTATAGCACCTAATTTTTATTTCAGCAAACATGAACTTCTATATGAAGGGCTTCTTGTGGAAATAGATAAGAGAGATGTAGTTTCTTACTTTAGGCAATATATTGGGAAGTAAAGAGAATTTCAGAATATAACCATGGTATACTTAGTAGGAGAGATGTATAGAGTTTGAAAAACACTAACCCCAGCTTTGGAATTTGGGAGTGATAATGAGAGGCTGGGAAAAATCTCCTTGAGAAAATTAGCTTTAGTTGATAATTTGTGACAGCTAATTAAAATAATCAGTGTAACGACGTGGGTTTTAGAAGGAAGCAGTGTTGGAGGGCATGGGAAGGAAGAGAAGCATGTGTGTTGTGAGAGTTTGGAGGCCAATCTTCGGTTACAAAAGCTAAGGAGCTAACAGTGGAACTACTGAAGGGAAAGACAGTTTAAGTGATACTTGAGGGGGTGAGAGGTTAAGGGGCGGAGAGAATCTAGAATAGGTTCTAGCATCGGTCTATTCCTGATTGGTGGCCCATTTCACCAGAGATCAGTAATGTGGATGGGAAGGATTAAGAAAAAAGTCTCTATAGTTGGACAAAAGTAAATTCATGGCAAGAAAAGTAAATTGATGGCAAGACATAGAAAATTCAAGTCAGTATCTTATGAAAAAGGGAGAGGTCTTTCTTTTTTCTGTGTGAAAAATATTTGGTAAGTTGTTAATTTTCTTTTTCCATGTTTAGGCTAAAGCAGATTTTGAAAAGGAAGAAAGGTGTAGAGAACTTAAGCGTCTTCGGGGTGAGGATACGTGGATGCTATCCGATGTCAATGAGCGAATTGAACAGTTCTCACAGGTGAAACTTCCATGTTTTCCTGATGGAAACACATCTGCTTTCTTTGTACTTAATAAGTTAATATGGGATGAGTAACTTCATAGCATTCTCCTAAGTAACAGAGTATCACATAGTTGGCATTATTCAGTATCTTTATTTAGCTGTTGTCACATTGGGAAGATCTTGCTACTTATGTTAGCTAGTAGAAGACTTACCGTATATAATCATTTATAAGCTGAGTTTTTCCAACACATTTTTTATGCCGTTTTTGTGGTAAAATTAGGTGCCTCAGCTGATATTTGGGTCGGCTTATACTTGAGTATATATGGTGGATTAAAATTTCTGCCTCAGTTGTAGCAAGTTTAGCAAATTAGATCTAAAAATTATATTTAAACCATGTTTTGTTCTTTTTGTCTCAGTTCTTTTTCTCCCTCCACCATTTAATTTATGCTATTTTGTTCTGTATTATGTGGTTTAATAATCTTCTGTCAATCCCTTTGGAGGGGGTCATATAAGAATACACACATGTACATATTTATGCATTTTGTAAAGTACCTACTTATATTTTTATATCTGCTAGATACTCATTGTATTGTATTATAACATAATATAGCATATTATAAATATTATGTAATGCATATTGTATAATACTAATGAAGCATATAAGTGAGATTTCTTACCATAAACGTATGAGAGAAGTTTTAATTTCAGTTAAATTTATTTGTGGATTCATTTGACAGATACAAAAAATAAATACATAAATAGGTGTTTTTTAAAATATACAAATATATGTTTGTATATATTCTTCTGTGATCCCCAGAGGGATTCATGTAAGATTATTAGGCCATGCAAATATATAGTAAAATAGTAGAAATTGAAATTAAGGGAAAAAGGAAGAGTTGAGAAATGAAGAACAAAATGTAGTTTAAAGTGCATAATATTTGAAATCTAATTAGTAGTATAAATATTATGGGAGAAGCACTCTGCTTCTGTAAAGATTACGGTCTTGAAAACCCTATTGGGCAGTTCTACCCTGCCCTATAGATTTACTGTGAGTTGAAATTGACTTGATGGCTGTGATGTCTGTATTATAGATGAATATTAAGGTTTTTTTGTAGGACTGTCTTTAGTTACTTATAGTTTTGTCTCATTTTATGGGACATTTGGAGTTTTTTGGAAGGTGGATTTTTTTTGTCCCCTCAAAAATGTGTGTGTACTTTTAAAATATGGACCTGAAGTTTTATTTTACCTATTCACAATGTAGGAGCACTCTGTGAAGAAAAAGAAGAAAGACAAACACTCCAAAAAGGTAAAGAAAGAGAAGAAGAAAAAGAACAAGAAACAGAAGTATGAAAAAAATGAATCATCTGATAGTTCATCAGTAAGTATGTAGTAAAACTACCAAAGAACTGTTTAATATTTAAAAAAATATAATAGATTAATATATGGGAACTGGGAAAAAAAATTACTGGCTATCATGGGGATTCCCAGAAAGTAATGGAAACTTAGGCGTTGGTTTCTAGAAAAAGGGAAAATAGAGAAAGATGGTTTAGGAATCATTTTTTGGTGTGGCCATTAAATTGGATGAAATGCTTAAAGAAATTGTAAGGAAAAAGACACTGACATTTAAGAGCCCAGCAGTAAGTAAAGGACACTAAGAAGATGTGGTTAGAGAGTAAGGAGGAGGAAAGGGCAGCTTTGTAAGCACAGGGAAGAGAGTTTGAAGACATTTAAGAATCTGTTACCCTTGTCAGGTGCTTATGTAATTTTAGGAGCTAAGGAGAGTAATTGGGTCTGTAGTGTCTTTGGTCAGAAGAAAGGAAAGCAGGTGAAATCCTTCACAGTTGTTTTCAGGAAGACAGGTGTGTGTTTGTAAGGTGTGGAATTCCTTTGCAGTAAACAATTTGATCATGGTTCCTGAGAGTAGGACCCTATCTGAGGCCTGTTAACTAAGAGGGATCCCATGGGGACCTAATGTTACCTAAACCTCAGGAGGCCATGTGGTGATGTCAATAAAAGCCTTGGAAGTTGGAGGCTCACTGGGGCTTCCAGGTGAGAATGAGTGCAAACCTATTCTCTGGAGGGTAAAGCTTGTCTTCTGGGGATATGGAAGCTCTGTACTAAAGACTCCTTCTGGACCTTGTTCTTCTTGTTCACATCTCTTATTCTTGTGTATTAAACCTAGCCTTATTGCTGTGGTTTGTCAGTTCCATTGGTTATTGAACTGAAGAAATAGAGAAGGGACTGGTAAGTGCAGTCGTGCCTGGATAAACGGAGATCCGAGAGAAAAGGCTGCTCTGAGCAGCTGTGGTCCGAACTGACCAGGAAAGGAAAGCTGAGCCTTCCCTGGACTGGTTTGAGCTTACGAAGTTTTTTATTAAAAAATAATATTTTTGCTAGATGTACAATTTTAGGTGTATAATTCTTTGTCTTTCTGCCTTTTAAAATGCAATTCCATAGTCATCTAGTTTTTGTTTTTTCCCTCTATATGTCTTTTTATATTAGATGCTTACGAAATTTTTTTCCTTTTGTCATTTTTTTAAAAATCGCATATCACCTGTGATGTATTTGTGTGTGCTCTGCTTTGGTTACGTTCTACTTTAATTTGCGAGTTTAAAATTTCCATCATATTTGAAAATTTCCAGCCATAGTTGTTTCTTTTCTTAATATTGTCCCACAAGTTGCTGAGATTCTGTTTACTTTCTTTCTAGGCTTTTTGCTGGCTTTCTTTTTTTTATCTTATTCTAACCCTAACCCTAACCACCCTAACCCAAACCCTAACCACCCTAACCCAAACCCTAACCACCCTAACCCTAACCCTAACCACCCTAACCCTAACCCTAGGCTTTTTGCTTTCTATGCTTGAGTTGTTTTTCTAAACTTTTTATTGTGATGTTAGTGAAGGTTTATTTAGTAAATTGGTTTTCAGTAGTTCATACATATTGTGACATTGATTGCCATCCCTACTGCAGGGGCAGTGAAGTAATTAATATTTAATTATTCATATGAATGATCTAATTAATAATTATTTGGCTTATCTAGCAAAAGTCTCTAGCTCCTACCAAATGATTTGTCGCTGTATGGGTCTGGTAAGAAGGTGGGGGAAAATATTGTTACTCACCTGTGAGTAATTTCAAACAGGATTTCCTGGAATGGCATTGTGCTGTGTATAAAATAAGCCCTCTGAAAAGCAGAAGGAGGGATCTCATTACTAGCAAGAGCCAGGAGTGGAGTGGGTCCTGTGAAGCTGAGTTCCCTAGGCATTGAACCTCCTGCATCCACAAGAGTTAGTTACACCATTAGAGGAGCAGTAGCAGAACCAGAGCCAGAACATGGAACAGAGTGATGTGCTTTCCCAACCCACGGAGCAAGTCCAGATGAGCGCTTTTGTGCAGGAAGCTGGCTTACGGAGTGGGATTCCGCTGGGCATTTAACTGGGGAAGCTGACCTTGCTGACCCACCAACGTGAAGATGAGTGGCTTTGGGCTGAGGCTTACTGGAGTAGGGTGCCTCGGGACACTGCATTCGGGAAGTTGGGCTTACTGTCACACAGTTTGAGCCGAATGCCTTCAGGTTGAGACAGAGTGGTATGTCCCTTTAAGTATTTATTAGTAGACTTGAAATATTGTAACATGTCCTGGTAAACAAATACCCTGAGCATTTCTCACTGGCATAACAATTTGTTAACTTTCTCAATAAATCCTTTAATCGTGGATTTTGTCTGTGAGTTTCTGTGTAGCCATTTCAATGGACATTAGAACCTATCAAGGTCAAACAGTGGACACTAATTAAGACTAGACACCCAAAATGTAACAGCACTCTTCAAAAGTCCTCCTCCATGTAGTTCCCTTTTCTATTTGCCCTTCTTTTCTATCCCTGCCTGCTTTGTGAGCGTTATCCCTGGGCAGAGGTGCCCTTGTGGTCTTTCATGGTTGATTATTTTAAGGACAACATATCACTTGGTGTTCTGTTGTTGTTCGGTGCTGTTGCGTCTGTTCTGATTCATGTGACGCTCTGCACAGCAGAATGACACTGCCCAGCCGTGCACCGTCCTCCCAATTGTTATGTTGGTGCCCATTGCTGCACCTACTGTGTCACTCTGTCTCATGGGAAGTTCTATTATTTTTTACTGCCCTTCAGTTTTCCCAAGTATGACAGCCTTTTCCAGGCCTTGCGCTCTCTGGTATCATTGGCTGGTCTGTTTGGCTGAAAGTTGAGTCCGAGGGAGATAGGCTTCAGTTTGGCTAAATTTATTACAGTTTCTTTAGGTTTAGATGTACTGACCTTTTGTAGTAGCAAATGTGTTGTGTGGCCCTGCTTAGCAAAACTGTCATTTCAGATACTGCTATTTTTGTTAAAAGTTGTATTTGGATTGTGTTTTATATCTTTTAATTATGTTCATGTATGCATTTCCTTGAATATATATATTTATGTGTTGTATCTTTTTGTTTGTTGTGTCATCTCTTGCTCCTTGTTCTGTTTCTGTTAAAGGGTTACTATTTCCTGCTTACTTGAAAGTTTTGTTTGTTAGGCTATGTTGTGAGTGCTAGATTGTGTTGAAGTCATTTAAAGGATGCTGAGTTTTCTTTTGGCCGGGATTTAGTTTCTTGGGGATAGTTTAATATTTATTTTTTATTTTTTTGCCTAATCTGTTTAAAAAAAATATCATTTTATTAGGGGTTCATACAGCTCTTATCACAATCCATAGATACATCAATTGTGTAAAGCACATTTGTACATTCATTGCCCTCATCATTCTCATTTGTACATTCACTGCCCTCAACATTCTCAAAACATTTGCTCTCCACTTAAGCCCCCGGCATTAGGTCCTCATTTTCCCCCTCCCTCCCCGCTCCCTCCTCCCTCATGAGCCCTTGATAATTTATAAATTATTTTGTCATATCTTGCCCTGTCCGACATCTCCCTTCACCCACTTTTCTGTTGTCTGTCCCTCAGGGAGGAGGTCACATGTAGACCCTTGTAATCGGTTCCCCCTTTCCAACCCACTCTCCCTCTACCCTCCCAGTATCGCCACTCACACCACTGGTCCTGAAGGGATCACTGGCCCTGGATTCCCTGTGTTTCCAGTTCCTATCTGTACCAGTGTACATCCTCTGGTCTAGCCAGATTTGCAAGGTAGAGTTTGCATCATGATGGGGGTGGGGGAAGCATTTAGGAACTAGAGGAGGAAAGTTGTATTTTTCATCGTTGCTACATCACACCCTGACTGGCTCGTCTCCTCCCCGAGACCCCTCTGCAAGGGGATCTCCAGTGGCCTACAAATGGGCTTAATAATTTTTGTTGTATGTGTTGATGTCTTATTAGTGTGTGTAGGGTTGTCTTTAGAGATGGCTTAGGAAAGACACAACCTTTGTAAGTTCTTTACTGATTCCTCTGGAGGTTAAATGAGTTTTTTCTATTCTGACTGGTAAGAACTAGAACTTCCAGCTCTGCGACGTCTAAAGTTTGTCCTGCATATAGTGTTCCAGGAATTGCTCTTTCCTGGGAAATTATTCTTTGCCTGTAGATCGTCATCCTAATCACATATAGTATAGTATTCAGCTAATCCTGCACTCCTGAGAGCCAGTGTCTATAGCCAGTTGTTTAGTTTTCTAGTCGTTTAGGGTAAGAGGCTAAGTTTAATGCCATTTATTTTACTATGGTCAGAAACAAATACTCGAAAGCCCTTCCTCCCCTCCTTTTTTTTTTTTAAGGGCTAGTACTTTTCTGTCTTAGTCCTACCTCTTAGAGTTTGACTGCTGTATAGGTGTGGTTAATCACAAAGGTTATAGGTGAGGAGAGTCCTGGGAGGTAGGTTGAATCAGGGGCACATTCATCTTTGTGCTGTATGAATTCTATAATCAGAAAAGAAATGAGGTTGAAGATTGGAGCAAGAGGAACATCTGTTGTGCTGAATTGATAAGGTGAAATTAATGCTGATGAAAATGAGCAATACAACCAAGAGAAAGGGAGTGGAGGAGCATTATATTCATTCATAAGTTCAAGTCATGGTGAGAGAGGGTTCTATCTGCAGACTTATTAAGCAAATGATGCCTGAGCTGAGACTTGAAGGATGAGTAAGAAATAGCTGAACAAAGAAAAGTGGGCTTGGGTATTCCATGCACAAAGAATTGCAAGACCAAAGGGAGTAGAAAATTGTAGCAGCTTGAAGTATGACAGAGACAGAGTTTAGAGAGAAGTTTGTATGTGTATATGAAAAAAATAACTAAGCAGTTTGTGTTACACTAGATCAGAAGACCAGGGCACTGGGTGCTGATGAAACTAAGGTTTAATAGGACATTGTAAGCTAAAAGATTTGACTTCCTTCAGTAGTAAGCATAGCATTTAATTAGCTTCAGCTGCATCTATCAGGAAATCTCAAAGAGCTATTGGTTTAAATAAGGTAGAAGTTTGTTTTTCTCTCAAAATCAAATGGCCACTCTTGGGCTAGGTGGTTGTCTGGGACAAAGGCTCTTATCATTTTGTCCTCCCATCATTTCTTCTGGCATTGCTTCTTCATTCTGATAGTAGGAAGGAGGATGCCCTCTTTCTTTTTGACTTCCAGAAAGTCCTCCATTTACCCTGGATATTTTAGTAAGAGGTGGCTGTGATGAGCTATTCCCTTATATTAATATAAATGTATTTGTGGTGGGTCTTGGACAAGGAAAGGGCACAAGGAAAACCGAAGTACAGGAGATGATTTTGACAATTCCAGGTGTCTAGGTGAGAAGGAGAATGATCTGATCTGGGCCTGCTTGTTTTAAGATGGAGTAGAGAGAATGTCTAACAGTAGGGCTTCTTGGTAGTAGATACCAGAAACTGATCTTAAATTGGTTTGTTCCAAAAAAAGGAGGGTGGAGGCAGCTTACTTTAAAATTACTGGAGTGTAAAAGCAGATCTTTTCAGTAGAGAGGTGTAATGAGATTAAAACCGAGATTTTCTTGCTGAATTTTTTAGTGTGTTCTTTGAAGTAGTTTTAGCAGGTTAATGAGGGTAGAAGCCTGAAAAAAAAATGATGTGGGGTATATATGACATGAACGGGGAAGGGGAATCCAACTCCAAAGCTAAGTCTTAGGAGGGGCAGACTCCCGTCCACACTCCAACATCCTTTACCCTGTTCTGCCCCAGCATCCTTTTCAGGACATTCCTCTCCCATGATCTTGATCCTGATCATTTCTGTTCTTCCACGGCCTTACTCCATCAATTATCTCATCCTTTTCAACCGCAGCATCTACTGCCTAGAAATAATGCTCAAGTACTTCCCATCCTTTGATGGCATTTGGGAATAAAAGAGACCTTTTTTTTTTTTTTTCCAATCATTTTATTAGGGGCTCATACAACTCATCACAGTCTATACATACATCAGTTGTGTAAAGCACATTTGTACATTCATTGCCCTCATCATCCTCAACACATTTGCTCTCAACTTAAGCCCCCAGCATCAGGTCCTCATTTTTTTCTCCTCCCTCCCTGCTCCCCCCTCCCTCATGAACCCTTGATAATTTATAAATTATTATTTTGTCATATCTTTCCCTGTCTGACGTCTCCCTTCACCCACTTTTCTGTTGTCCGTCCCCCAGGGAGGAGGTCACATGTAGATCCTTACAATCGGTTCCCCCTTTGAGTCCATATCTCCTTCTAATAGCAAGTTATAACTTCAACTTTAAGCTATTCTTCTTGAAAAACAGTCTACATATACTACCCTCACATCCTCACTCATATACATCTCTCAAAGTTCTACAATATTGCTCTGTGGTGAAGTGCAATTACATAGCATGGCTCTTCTATCATAGTCTTGTAGACTCCCACCAAACGATTGGATCACACCATGAAAATAGGGTGTGTGAAACTAATGAAGGGAGTGGATCCGTTTTTCCATTCTAAGTGTAAAGTGAGCCATTTCAAAAGCAGGAGCAGAGAGTCTCAGGAGCCATACTCAGTCAGGGTGCTGTGTGAAGCAGCAGCAGCAAAGACGAGTGGTGGGCTGGGACAAGGAATACTGAGTGCCTTTGGGCAGGGTACTAGCTTGCCCTTTGGACATTTATCACCCCTGAAGGATCTTTGTTGCACTTGTCCAAGCAGGACAGAGGCCTAGGGAGCAAGTACCTGAGAGGCCAAGGACCAGAGAGAGACATGGCTGCCAGCATGGCTGAGATGAGGCACTACAGACAAAAGAGCTACATCCTTATAATTTTGTAACCTGTTAACTTCCCTACTAAACCCCTGTCATGAGTGTTGTCTGTGAGCTCTCTGTGGCCACTGATGGATGATGGGCAAGTAGAAGAGCAGAATGTCAAGGAAAGGATGCTGGGGCAGAACAGGGTGAAGGATGGTGGAGAGTGGAGGGGGGAGTATGGCCTCTCATAGGAATTAGCCTTCGTTTAACTGCAGTGGTAAATCATCATGTTTGGGTTTATCTAAGGCTAGAGATTACTTAAAAGCTGTTGCTTTGTTTGTGAATGTCAAGCAATTGGTCAAAATCTATGTGGAATGAGAAAAATCTATAGCTTTAGAAGACCTGTAAGGAAGAAACCTGAAAATTTTTAAATAAATTTTAATTTTAGGAAATAGTTACTCCCACCAAAGAGAGTGATGATTTATTTTTGTTTCTTAGATTATAAATTCCTTTTTAGTGGCTATGACCAAACAATAGGAACTAAATGTCTTTCAATAGCTTTGACAGTGTAATATGAGCAGCCCAGCAGTCTGTTTATAGTGATTATTAAAAAAAAAGATAACTATGTCGACCAGTAGTTCTCAGGTTTCTATAAATCAAGGCCCTAAGTGAGTGAAATCTGTGCATTGTGGGAACAGTTGAGAATTGAGATGCTAGAAAACACATATTTACTCAATGTGGTTTATACCTAATTTTCAAGAACGTAATAGAATGGAAGAACACTGGTCTCATTCAGAAAACCCAGGTTTTAATACTAGCCTTGTTATTGCTTTTTTCCTTCTCTTGGTTTCAAAGCTTCTTAACTATGCATTACCAAGTAGTTTTCTACACTTAACTTCCTCAGCCCTAGATTTTTGTGCCAGATTACTCTAATCTGTATCCTGATTTTCCACTTTGATACCATGTAACCTTGGACAAGTAATTTAATTTCCAGGAGCTTTCTTTATATGTAAGGAGCAATGGTGGTGCTGTGAGTTAGGCTTTGGGCTGCTAACCGTGGTCAATGGTTCAAACCAATAGCTGCTTTGAAAGAAAATATGAGATTTTCTGCTTCCATAGAGGCTTAATAACCTCAGAATAGGGTATTAATAGGTTTAATAATGTCCTTTTGAGTTATAATTGACTTCATGGCAATGAGCTTAGGGTTACTTTCCTTATATGTAAGAGTCTGATGACATGGCACTTAAGCATTTGGCGGTTCAAACTTGCCACCTGTTCGCAGGAGAAAGATGAGGCTGGCTGTCCGCACCTGTAAAGATTTTCTCTCTTGGGAACCATAGAAGTAATCTGTCCTATAAGATTACTGTGAGTCAGAATCAAGTTGATAGTGGGTTTGGTTTGGTGGGTTGGGTTCCTGATATGTAAAACCTAAGAAATAACTTACAATTTTGCTGTAGAGTTAGCATGAACAATGTATTTATTGAGAACCAAACCTAACACCTGGCATAATGATGATTTAATAGTCTTGCGTTTAAACAGAACAAGTGTCATCACAGTCTAGCTGTTACCTGAGATCTGGGTGTTTTTAGATCCAAGGAAATCTAAGGATTTTAAACGTAAGGACAAACGACAAACTCATTTACTTGCGTATATTTTATTTTCCCTGGGTAAAGATGTCCGGATGGTTGATGTCAGTGGGAACCGCAGCTTTATGCTGGAGTGCATTATCTCGCAGTGGCTCTAGTTGTTTTTTCTTTTCTCTTGGTTTTGATAATAAACTACTAAGAAAACAGAACTAATTTTTTGGCATTTTGTGGGCTTAATTGAAAGTAGTGGGTGTTCAAGTTTTCAAGTTTTTAAAAGGGAACTAGAGTGTTAGAATTTTGCTTAGGAAAATTGACACCTGAATTTCCAGCATTTAGCAACCCAGAATTTTCATATCAATCTATGTAAATTTAAGAATTTCACTTCCGTGCTAATTATTCTTAGAGTTCTGAAGATGAGTGGGTTGAAGCAGTTCCATCTCAGGCTCCTCGCAAAGAAAAGGCCTGGAAAGTGAAAGAGGAAAAGTCAGAACAGGGCGATGACAGTGAAATGATCCAGGTAAGACACCTACTTTTAAATGTCAAAGCGTTGATTTTAATTAGATGAATGCCGAAATGAAAGATGGTTATCATTTATTCAGGAGCAAAGCCAGCCTGAAGATATACTTCAGTGAGTAATTTGTGGCAATAATGCCACATCTTGAGCCTTTGGACGCAATTTCTCCTCTTGCTGTGGCAAAGTGAGACATTGACTTCCATTTCCTTAGAAGGTTTCCTGGCCCTGGTGCTGATTGCCAGCGGCACTTTCCCTTTCTTACCAGGAGCCTTGCTCTCTCACTACCAGTCACAGAGTTCAGTCATACGAGGGTGCCCTGAAAACCCTGGAACTGAGCAGGGCGGAGTGGAGCTTTCGTAGCATGCATTTTTCTCACTAGGTGAGCATCCAGCAACTCCTCTGAGCTAGTGCACTTAGCAGCTCCTGGGAAGGTTCTTGCTGGTCTCTGAATTTCTTCTTGAAAGCAGTTTTACTTGAACCTTGTTTTTGTGATGGCCAATTTAAGAGTGTGTGGTTGTGAAATGTTTCCTGCTCAGGAAAAATGCCACAGAAACTGTTGTGATGTTGAACACAACTTACAAGGACAGTGCTATGGGAAAAACTCAAGTGTGCAAGTGGTTTTCTCATTTCAAAAAAGGTGAAATGTCGATTGATGACAAACCTCATTCTGTACGCCCGTCAACTTTGCTAATGGACGAAAATGTTGACTCAGTACATTTGGAGTTCGTTCCACCAGGTCAGACTGTTAATCAGCTTTCTATACAGAGGTTCTGAAAAGATTGCATAACAGTGTGTGACAATCAAGGCCTGATTTGTGGTAGGCAGGGGACTGGTTTTGTCACCACCACAACGCACCTGCTCACGCAGCCATCTCTGGGTCCCAGTTTTTGGCAAAAAAACAGTATGTCTCTCTTGCTCCACGCACCGTACTCACGTGACCTTGCTCTGTGCACCCTTCTTGTTTCTGTGAATGAAAAGGGACATGAAAGGATGGTGATTTGAAGATGTAGATGAGGCGAAGAAAAAACAAGGGAGGTGCTGTCAGCCATCCAAACATGGATGAGTTTGTAAATGTTCCCAAGAATGGAATCACAGATTTGACAAATGTATTAAGTATAATGGAGAATATTTTGAAGGTGATAAGGTTGTTTTGTAAAAAAATTTAAATACATAAAAAAAAAACCCTGGGTTTTTTTGTACCCCCATATATATATATAATATATAAATGCTTTATATATTATATATGTCTTGGTTCTTTTCCCCTCTTACTTCCTTCCGTAATGTTCTTAGCAACCCTTACAGCTAAATAATTCATACATTTGGGGTATCATTTATATGCTCAAGGAGGGAAGAAATTTTTCCTCTATTAGTCATGGACGAAGGAAGAAGGTAAGCAAAATGAATGCTTAATTGCTTGTTTAGTGCCACACTGCTGGATGATTTAATATCTGATTTCTCATTCTTTATGAAAGTTCTGAAAAAGATAAAAAGATTCCTTCCCCCCAGTAAATAGCCTTTAATTTTGAGTGCTTCAGGGGGTATAGTAAAATTGAGCAGAAAGGACAGTGAGTTCCCACATTACCCCTACGATCACCCGTTATTAATATCTTGAATTTGTGTGGCACATTTGTTAGAATTAATGAACCAATGTTCATAGGTTATTATTAACTGAAGTCCATATTTACATTGGAATTTACTCTGTGTGGTACAGTCCTGTGCTGTTGGCAAAAAGGAAGGGCGTTGACCCCATTCTCAAGAGGAGGAAAATAAAGCTTATAGAGATTAAGAAACTCGCTTCAGGTTGCATCATTTTATGTCCAGGTTTATTAAATGTTTATTGTTAAATTTTAATCACTTTAGCTTGAAATGACTTCCTGTTTTTGACAGAGGGATGAGTGGATGACCGTTGACTTTATGTCTGTTAAAACTGTATCCTTATCATCACTCAAAGCTGAGAAAGAAACCAGAAGGAAAATTGAGCAGGAAAATGCCCAAGCAGCTGAGCAGGTAAGTGTTTCATGTGTGTTAACTTTCTAGTTTTCTCTATGAGAAGCTAATAAGAACATTTACATAAATCCACGTTTACTTGAGAAGATATTCTCTTTTGTGTTGTTTAATAAGATTAATGGGACAAACTTTGAAATGTGACATAAGTTTCTTTAAAATAAGTTTCCTTTAGGACAGTGGTTTTCAACCTTCCTAATGCCACAACCCTTTAATACAGTTCCTCATGTTGTGGTGACCCCCAACCATAAAATTATTTTCGCTGCTACTTTATAACTGTCATTTTGCTACTGTTATGAATTGGGTAATCCCTGTGAAAGGGTTGTTTGACTCCTCCCCAAGGGGTCGCGACCCACAGGTTGAGAACCGCTGCTTTGGGAAGTCAGGTTAGAGGTATCCTGAGATTTATACATGTGTTTGATTGAAGGTAATTGAGTGACTATTACAAGGAAAGTTGTTGCTATTGGGTGTCATCTAGTGAGCTCCAACGCACAGTGACCCTACGCACAGCAAAACCAAAACCAAAACACTGCGGGGTCCTGCACCATCCTCACAAGTGTTCCTGTCACGGAGCCCGTTGATGCAGCCACTGTGTCAGTCCCTCTCATTGAGGGCCTTCCTCTTGTTCACCCCCTTGGCCCTCCACTTTACCAAACATGCTGTCCTTCTCCAGGCACTAGGCTCTTCTGACAGTCTGTCCAAAATATGTGCCATGAAGTCTTGCCATCCTTGCCTTTAAAGAGCACTCTGGCCTTACTTCTCCCAATGCAGACAGTTTGCAAATTTGTATCTGTTCCTGTTTTGCTACATTGACTTAACCAATTTGAACCAGTTTCAAAGACATCTTTAGCATCTGATATAGAATTGTGTACTGTGTATATATGAAAGTGTAGAAGAATTATTCATTCTCCATTAATTCCAACTTAGTACAATGCCATTTAAGTCCTTAGATTTAGTTCTAAAGTGTGATAACCTGTAGTAATTTGTGCTTTTGCTTAGGCTAGAATTCAGATTATATTTGTAGGCGTAAATCATTTAGATTAGCGAGTGCGATAAGTCAGTTATCAAACATGTGCATGTCAATATAGATAACAGTGTAGTTTTATGAAATAATAAATATGACATTTCATATTGAGAAAAAGTAGCCCTCCCTTGCCAAATGTTAGTTATTAGAATATCCATGAGGATAAAATGAATGTAACTGAAAGAAGTCTAGAATGATGACCTTTAACTACAGCTGTATGCTACAAAGCATTTTGATTCTTTTTGCTTTCTTACTATTAAGGATATCATTTCTTTGGCCTTCTAGGCTAGATGTTTTCAAAATGTGAGTCATGAAATTAATTTATTTCAATCAGCTAAAACATATAGCATGTATTATATGCAACAAAGGTAAACTTTGTGCCCTAAAACTTTGTTTCGGTGCCATTTTTTCTTTCCCAGTGTGAGTGATGGGCTATAAGAAACTTGAACGCGAGCGCTCGGGGCTGTGCTTGCGTCCTCTTGCCTTTAGTTCCGCACCGTGCTGTCAGCTGTGACCCCAGGGCACCTGTCTATGGCCCTTCAGGGTGACTGGTGCAGCTCTGGTACCCTGCCACCCTCTTCAAAGTGCTTACTCTTTGTGTATTGTCTGTTTCCCTCCCTTAGATCGATCATAAGCTGGAATGGCAAATATTGACTGTTACATGGCCTGCATCCAGCACAGTGCCGAAACATGCTAGGTATTCAACAAAAGAATTTGAGTGATTGTATTTAGGCATTGTTTCCTTCAAACTATAGAGGAGCATGAGTCTGAAGAGTGCTTTACATGATTTACCTAAGGTCAAAATTGTTAAGTGGCTCATGGAATTTTTGTTGTTATTTTATAGTTTTTATAAATTTTGGGTTTATTATAAAATTATAATCTTTGAAAATGTTTTGTTATAGTCCAGATTGTTGGAAAGAGAATTGAATCCATACTGGAAAGATGGGGGGACAGGTCTCCCACCAGAAGACAGTAATGTATCATCCATTACTAAAGGTATGTTTGTAATATGGTTGTAGCCACACAGGCATTTCTTCAAATTTCTTATAACTAAAAGTATGAGTTTGTTGGTAAATTGGCAGACTGTATTAGATTTCAGAATAGTACCGTGGGTTTAGGGTTCGATTGCTAACCTCAAGGTTGGTGGTTCAAACCTACCAGTGGCTTTGTGGGAGAAAGATGAGACTATGTGTTCCCATAAAGACAGTCTCCAAAACCCAATGGAGCTGTTCTACAAGTTCGCTAGGAGTCAAAATCAACTTTATGGAAATGAATTTTTTTTTAACAAATGTCATATTACCAGATGTTCTAAATTTGTTTGATTGTGGTTTAAATATTTCTGCATGATGCTATAACTTGGTTAAGTTTTCCTTTGTCTGTATCTTTATATTTGCAAAACAATGATTACATTTATTGGTTATCTGGTGTGACATTTGTATGGTTTCACATTAGGAGAATCTGTATGGTATTACTAAAAGTTTAGTTTGCATATGACAAGGCATTGATAAAATACTTGCATCCTTTTGAGGCCTTTTGAAAATTTAATGCCTCTGTGGGATGGCTGCTCATATAGGCAAGTGATGTGATCTTAATGGGTAGATTGTGTACATCCTCCTTGCATATTAACTGACCAGTCCTCTCAGAAGTGGCTCTATCTGTTTACATGATAACTGACATTTATTGCCAGGAGGGATTGGCTTCTTCGCTGGGCAGAAGCAACAAGCTTCACTGAACAGCTGTAATAAAGGCAATGATAACAACTCCTCAGGACCCAGGGTAAAGTTCTTCAAGCTGTTTTTCCCTTCTTCCCCTTTCACAGAACCATGGCAAAAGGCCACAAAAGGGACCAATCTTACCAGACCATCAGACAAGAGTCTTGTTGAAATATTGTGGTTACAAAGTCAAAAAAAAAAAAAGGCAGGCTATAATTACTATATTGTCTATCTCATAAAGTTACTTCTAGGTTTTAGCACCAAATGAAAACCCACTGCCGTTGAATTGGCTCTCACTTATAGTGAGTGCCCTTACAGGACCAAGTAGAACTGCTCCCTAGGGCTGTGCACGGAAGCTGACTGCCACGTCTTTGTCCAACCGAGTGGCTGGTGAGTTTGAACCACCACCGTCTTTGGTTTGCAGTAGAGTGCTTTAGCCACCGTGCCTCAGTACCTGATACAGTCAGTGCTTAATAACAGTCATGGTGTCAAATACTTGTTATTACAAACTAAATGTTTCGGCAAGGTTTTACTAGTTACTTATTTAAATAATTGTTTTTGTTAGTTGATGTCAAGTTGATTCTGACTCATGGGGACCCTGTTGGCCGAATAGAATTACTTCATAGGATTTTAAAAGTTGTGACTTTTGATAAGCATATTTCCAGACTTGCCTTCTCATGTGCTTCTGGGTGGGTTCAGACGTCACCCTCTAGGTTAGTTGTTGAGCACTGAGCCATCTGCACCTCCCAGGGAATTTTTATAGCCATATTTTCAATAATGGACTCATTAACCACCCCACCCCCCCACTTTTTAAAGAGATATTAGAAAGCAAAGACAGTAAACGTTTATCAGAGCCCTTATAAATATTAGTATTGGGGGATATTTGTAGACTTTTAGAGTTTACATTGCATTTTTATCAGTTTATCTTTATGACAATTATGTAAGGACAGTAGAGTAGATGTTATTGTTCTAAATTTTTAGCTCAGCACAGTAAGGCTTAAAGTAGCCTTACTTTAGTGATGTGAGTAGTATTAGAATCCAAGTCTGACTGCTAGTCCAGGGTTGTTACTCTAGAGTTTTAGAAGAGAGAGCGAGCGAGAGAGAGAATGTATATCTTCTTTTTTTTAATGCATGTAGCTAGTAGAAATTCTTGTTTATAAACTGCTTGTGTTTGTTCTTCCTAATTATTTTTTATGTTTTGACCTCCTGAGTCTGAGTAGTGTAAGGAGTCTCAAAGGTAGTGTAAGTGCCTATTTTACAGAAAGGAGAAATGGCACAAAAAAATGTTATGGCTTGTTTAAGATCTTAAAATTAGTTGCAAAACTAAAATCTATCTTCTGATATTTAGCTTGTTGTTTTTATATTACCTTATATTACCTCTGAAAGAAACGAGAAATGCAGTCCAGATTCAATTGGCGGCATTTTCCTATAATAATTTCCCTTTCATTACAATGGACTTACATTTTAATCTCATACTTTCTGATTTAGACAGCAGATTCGAGATATAGGTCTATGTTAAGTGTTACAAATCAGTTGATGTTCTCTAATTATGTTTATATTTTAATGTCAGCATAGAGCCCTGGGACCATGCCGTGTTTTTATTTCATACTTTGTTTAATGAGTTCTCGTTCACATGAGTAGATAAACATAAAATATTTGCTGATTTGGATTTCATGATCAATAGTTAACTTTTTGTTACTTTAAAAATATTGCATGTGGTTAGTTCTCATATTAATATACAAATATTGATTTAATTACATAATTAAAGTTGATTGTTGGCATCTTTATAAGATTAATAAGACTATTAAAGTAAAACGTAATCATTAAAAGTGACATTATGTAACTATTTATAAAATTTTTACTACGATTCGGTTTCCTTGATAAATGTCAGCACGTTTATCTTGTTTTGGATCTGGTTCAAAATTCAACTTGTTTTTGAACCTGGTTTGTGGAATTTTCCTCTGCCCTACAGTTGGAAAGAATCCGTTCTAATTTTTCTATAAGCCTTTAAGTCTTCCAAAAATAATTTTCATATAACGTCCTTACTGTAATTTTTTATACGTCATTCCCTTAGATTGGATTTTTCATGGGGACAGATTCATTTGTCTTCTCCTTCCTCATAGTGGCAAAACTGTACCTGACATGTCGGCACTCCAATCTGTATATTTGCCCAATTAAGTTTTCAGTGCACTTAATTTTATTTCTTTGAGTAAAACATTTAACTTCTTAGTTTTGAAGTCATTTTTGAAGCAATAAATATTATTATTTATTAGCAAAATGAAAAATTTAACTGACATTTAATACTGGAATTTAGTTTCAGTAGTAGAAGATGGTGGATTAAGCTGGCTAAGGAAATCTTATCAAAGAATGAAGGAACAAGCCAAGAAACAAAATAGAAATTTTGAAGATATTGTGGCTGAAAGATATGGTGTGAGTATCTGTATTTAGGAACATGCATTATTTTCAGAGTTATATGAAAAGTACACGACATTTTCTGTGTTTTGTGCCATAAAACACTTGATTTGAATTGACACGAAATTTCAAATACTGCTGAAGTCATTTTCAGCTTTTTATTATTATATAATGAACATTTTAAAAAATGTGATGAAATTTACGTATTAAGACTTTAAAGTACACAAGTAAAATTTATGTAAAAACGTTTTATCATTTTGATAAATGTAATGTCTCCATAGTATGTGTACCTCTGGAGATAATCCTGTGCAATGGAGAGGTTACAATTTTTGGTAAATAAAAAAAAAGGACACTATTTCTGAACGGGCTGTGATATTTATGCATAAATAAATACAACTAAGGAAAAAAATTTTGGTAAATTTCAGGGTTTTTTTTTCCCCTCTCGTGAAACATGTCTATGTATATATTCTTAAAATGGTGAAACCAATGCCATACATGCTAATTTAGTTTTAGCTCTTGCAGTCACTATGTGTGGATAATCTTTTTGTGTCTATATACTTGTTTATAAGCTGAGTTTTTCAGCATGTTTTTGTGGTAAAATTAAGTGCCTCAGCTGATGTCGGCTTATACTTGAGTATATACAGTATATTGATGAGTTTTTTTGAGGGTAAGTTAAAAAAAGTATTGCTTTTTAGGGTTTGCGTTTATATATGCATGGAGTTATTCCAACAAAACCCGTTTAAACCTGCTCTCCTCAGGGTCCAGTCTCCTTATTAGTATGAGTCTCTTTTGAGTATAGTATTAGTCTGTCTCCTGAGGTTCATTCGAAACAGTGGCCTTCAGTGGCATCTGCTGGACTCGATTGCATGTCTGCAGTTCTTGACTGAGATGGTCTTCATTTATTTTCTTTGATCCGAAACTATTCTTTGGTCAATTTAAGCATGTATTGTTACAGTTGCTCATCCTTTTATCACAAAAGAAGCACAGCATGTGTGTGTTTCTGAATAAAGATATCAGCAATGTAACCACTGTATTTCACCCTGTTCCTCCAATTCCTTTACTTTTCATAATAGTTTTTAGGTATACTAAAACAGAGCCCGAACAAAATATTTTGGTAAATAAACATTCATGAGTGTTATAACTTCCTGGCTAATCATTCCTGTTTTCAATATGTCCACCACCCCCCCACCCCCAATTATTAATGTCTTCTTGAAGTCTTTCATATTGATATGAAATTTAGGACACACCTGTAAATCTGTAATTTTCACTTGATGTAAAATGTGAAATAGTGAAAATTGAGTATTAGACTACTAACCACAAGGTTGGGGATTCAAATCCACCAGCTGTTCTTGGGAGAAAGATGATGCTATCTGATCCTGTTGACTTCTGGCCTTGGAAATCGCTCTGAATTGGAATTGACCGGATGGCGGTAGTTTTGGGTATTACAGGATAAGAATACTAATATGATTTTCCTATCTTATCTCTCAGATTTTATTGAAATATTTTGGAATTTTAGTTCTTGTTATAAATTAAATACTGTGCATCTTTTATTTGATGATTGCATTAAAATTTATAATTACAGTAACAGTAATAACAGTCATGCAGAGTTAACTATTGCATTTCCTAAAGAATAGATCATTCACAGGCTAATTGGCGAACCCACTAATTTAATTTGTGTTAATGCCAGGCATTTAGAGTAAATGGTTCCTCTTTTGGGGGGGGGGTGTCCTAGATGTACATGTTATTTACAAATTGTTCAGTTTTTTTATAGATCAATTTTGGAGTAGAATGATTGCATGGGTCTTCCCCCCCCCTCCCTTGGTGGTTTTTTTTTCATTGTTTCAGATGGCTGTGGGTTATGGCTTGATAGTATATGAGGGGATGTCACTGCAGCCATTTTTAATTTTAGATATTTAATTTTTCTCCTTTACAGTCAATGGAAATATTTCAGTCAAAATTAGAAGAAGCCGAAAAAACTGCCTCCAGAAAAGAAGACTATAGACAAGAACGGTGGAGGAAACCAGCACATTCAGATAAAGCACCCACTAGTCAAGAAAGTAGAAAATCAGACTTAGTAAATTATAATAAAAGTTCAAGGGGTGGATATAACATAACGGATATTACAGACCATAGTAAAGATAAGGGTATTGCTGATGAAAACGATAACAGATCCAGGTCTTTAGAAACATGTGGACGAGAATCCAATCCAAGACAAAGTCGGTTTTCTTCTGGTGGAAATTTGAGGACTAAATTCTTAAGACCCTCTGATGATGAAGGAGTGTCATTTCATAGTACGGGCAGAAGTGTTGGACCCCCATCCCATTCATCCACAGCATTGGTAGCTCAAGGTTTCCAAAACCCCACAGACAACAGTGACGAATGCTTATCATCATGGAGTCGATCTGACTGGAGAAAAGAAAACAAGAAACGTTCAAGTGAAAAACCTTTAAAACCCAACAGCAGGGCGGACTCCAGTCACGTTCCAGGAGACGGGAAAGAGAAGTCACCGCGTGAAAGCTTGAGAGAGGGCCCTTCGAAAGAAGAATATCTGCAGGACACGAAGTCTTCCTTGGCTGGGTATTTTGTTATGTTTTTTCTAACCTGATAAATGAATATTAAAGTCCAGCAGACTCAAGGAACTGAACTATATTTTTAGAATTATAGTTATTAGATAGGAGCTGTGTTCTGTGTCTTAAAATTGACGGAATAGACAAGATATACAGACTTAACATACAGAGGTCTTGTTTTATTGATTTCATTATTTTTCCCAGTTCTATTTTATGGAAAGAACTAGAAGAAGAATAGAATAGCTATAGTTACAGCTTTTTACATTTAAAAACACAATGAATTAATCCTTTTAAAGGAATGTTTGTGGGACGTCTTTTGGAAGATCTTGGTGACTGATGCTATAGTACTTTATAAGGACAGCATCTTAAGTTTAATTGTAATTATAAATATTACATACTTATCGAAGGCCTAGGAGATGAAAGGGAAATAAGCTGCCATTGTCCAAGTATGAAGTGACAAAGATCCTGCTGAGGGAAGTGTGATTGTAGTAGTGGGTTTTACAGAGAAAGAATCTACTTTTAGTGATTGCCAGGACTTAAAGATAATGTGAGAATTTAAAAAAATGAAGTGTAGATAGGATTGTGCTTTTAGCTGCAGCGATTAAGGAAAAAGAAGCATTACTGGTTATATGTTTATTGCACCTGTTGGACTCAATATAAGGAACCCTGGTGGCATAGTAGTTACACATTAGGCTACTAACTACAAGGTCAGCAGTTTGAAACCACCAGCTGCTCCTCGGTAGAAAAATGAGGCTTTCTAGTCTCCTAAAAAGAGTTAATGTCTTGGAAGCTCACAGGGGAGATTCTATCCTGTCCTATAGGATTGCTTTGAGTCAGCATTGACTCAATGGGAGGGAGGTGTTTTGGGCCCCCCCCCCCCCACCTTTACATAGAACTAGGTCAGAAGACGAGGAAACACAAGTTGAATGTAACCACAATGAGGAAAATGGATTGTATCTACAGGGATGGCCCTGTTGAGAATAACCAAGACTTGAATGAGTATTATGCTAAAAAGAAATGAATGGAGCATTAAAGAAGAGCTTTTAGAAAATAATATAGTTAGAGTTTATGAATCTGATGAATTGCTTTTGTTATTGATTCCAGCATAAGCCATGGATTATAAAATGCAGTGTGTAGTTTTCAGTGGGAGGGGGCTTCTAAAATATTTACTCAGTGACGAACCCCCAGCTAAACGGGCTCTGATTCAGGTCAGGGCTTTGCTCTCAGGAAGCCAGTTGTATTTACTGGATAAACATATCAGGGATTGGAGAATGTTGAAGACTGTATGCGTACATAATTATCCACACTTCACTCTAGGCATCAGCTATTGGGTCCCTAATATCATTAGGGTTGACTGTATTAGAGCAACATGTAGCATTTGAAATCAGTGACTCTAGTTAAAGTATGAAAGCATTCTACATTGTTAATATTTCATCTGGTTCTGGTTGGTCATAATTGTGTATTTTATCTAAATTACATGTTTCTAAGAGAGACTCATGTCTCTTGCTCTGAAAGCAGAGCATTCCTTTAAAACCTTTTATTAGCTGAAATTGTGTAAAGTGAAGAAGCAGTTATCATTGATTTATATGGGGAAAATTTTATAGAGTCCCAAGACATAAGAAATAACATCAAATCCTACCATATAACATGCAAAAGCTAAAATAACACTAACCTAGAGTGTTCACAGAGATCTCAGCTGTGCTGAGTCTAGTTCCCGGGGAAGCTGAGGGCTGCTTGCTCCCTCTAACGACTTGCTGCAAAACACATGCCAAACACTAACGTCACTTTTGTGAAAGTGAAACTTCAGCTTGATTTTGGTTAGTGAAAACAAGTACTCAAGTTGGTCTTTCGTCAACGTTAAATGGTGTAAAGTGAATTTTTATAATGCATACATACTCACTAAAAGCTTTTTAGTTTTTCGGACTGAAGACAGTATTCTTTGTTATCTCTGTTGATTTCGAATCACAGATAATCTGATTCTTTCCGTGAATTCCATGATTGGCTGGAGAGGTAAGGAGAACCCTAGGACCCATGCACATACATGTGTAAGAACTCGAGTGTGTAGAACAGTATCAAGTAAGCAACCAGGGTATGACCTGGACAAATGCTTGTTTTCAGTGACTGGGATGATTTCATGAAAGACTTTTAGAAACTGTTAGGCTGTCTGAACGTTATCCTGTGATTATGTCAAATTCTTTATGAAATACCAGGGGTCTAGAGAATTTTAGAACTAGATGAAATCAGGGAACGGAGGTGATTTATACAATGCTATGTAACTAGGACTGCCAGGGTAAACAAACAAACAAACCGCCTCTTGCAGTATTTGGGCCCTCACTCCCTCCCTGCCATCAAGTCAATTCTGACTCATCGGACAGGGTAGAGCGGCCTCATGGATTTCCGAGACTGTAGCTCTATGGGAGTAGAAAGCCTCATCTTTCTTCCTCAGAATGGTTGCTGGTATTGAGCTTTGTCGTTCTCAGCCCATCATGTAACCATTATGCCATCAGGGCACCACATATTTGGGAACACATACTCTAGAAGGTTGTGGTGTTTACTTGAAAATGTAGCAGGTTCTCGCTTGACTAACCTAAAAGTTGGTGGTTTGAACCCACCCAGCAGCCCTGGAAGAAAGGCCTGATGACCTGCTCCAAAGGGCCACAGCCCAGGGAACCCTGCGGAGCAGTGCTGCCCTGGCACAGGGCTCCCCGTGAGTTGGAATCCACTGGATGGCAACAGGTTTTCATGTCCTTTGTTTGGCAATCCAGTATGTCATACGTCGTCACTTCCTGGGTCCGTGACCTTCCACCAGAGATCGACACTTGATATTTAGATTTCCTCATCATACACTTGATGTCTGCTAATGCCCATTTTATTAGTGTTACATGATTTTCAAATTAAAGGAGCACCACGAATTGACCTTGAGAAAAAGACCCCCTTTCCCTACTTTTCACGTCATCGTCCTAGAACTAGAAATAGGTTCACTTTTCTTTTGTTCGTTTTCTTATTATTGAAATACTTTTATTTAAGTAAACTCCTTTACTTAAATACTTTTAAAGATCTTATTTCCCATTAGAACTGAGGAAAAAACCAGTTTTTGACATGCTAACCCTCCAGAACTTTAAAGTTTTATATGTAATAAGATAATAAAAATTTAATGCAAAGCTAATGCAATGCATTATTTGAATATACCGAGATGGCTTTAGTTTTATCTGTGGTCTGCTTTTTTACTTCAGCTTTATTTGACATTCATTTGGTGGTAGGATATTTATTCTTGTGGCCATTCCTTACTTGCATTATAGTTGAATTAGAAATGAAAATAGGAAGTTAAACTTGATTTGAAATCTATTGCCTGACTTTTCACTGTAAAGTGGGCTTAAGACAACCACCACCACCAATATTCTTGGCATATAATTCACATATCATACAATTCAGTAGGTCAGTTATATTAAAGATTTGTACAGTGATCACCACAATTTTAGAACATTTTTGTCTTTCTTGTACTCATTGTTATTAAATGCTCCCATTTCCCCCCAGCCTCCTCTGTCATACTCCCAAACACCATTACTCAGTTACTGTCTTTATAGTTTTAACTATCCTGGATTTCATAAATAGGACATACCATAAAACAACCACAAAATAACAATAAAACAGACAAAAATCTCAACCAAAAAAGAAAACAATATTAAAACTACAACAAATTTAGAACGGGTCAGAAGGGAGAGCAAATGACAAGGTGTTAAATTTATCCTAACTGTATCTGCAATAGTCTGCTTTCCAAGCACTCTGCATGAAGTTTTGTTGAGTTGGAATCAACTTAACAACAGGTTATGCCTCTAATCATTCAATCTTTCTCATAGCCAAAATTACCTTAACAAAGTTTATCGATAACTATTCCATAATTAATGTATTACAGATTTCCATTTCATTTTATCCCACTCCATTTGTTTTTGGAATTTAACATTATTAAGATCTCTAGTTTTGGCTTTAACTGTTAAGAGTCTCCTATCAAAATCCTCAGAACATAAAGTACTAGGAATTACTGGGCAGAGCTCAAAAGACATGGGAAAAAAAACCTTAAAATTTTGACCACACAAACTATTTGATCATAAGTTTAAAGTTTTAAAACTTCAAAAGCAAAATATATATATGAGGGGGTACCTCCAAAAAACTGGGTTCTTTTTCAAAGCTATGTATTTAATTTTTTTTTTTTTTTTTTAGAAAAGAACCTTATCACTTCCAAAGTACTGTCCATTACACTTAATATATTTGTCAAATATGTGATTCCATTCTTGGAAATATTTTTCAAGCTCATCTGTTTGGATGGCTGACAGTATCGCCTTCATTTTTTTTCTTCACCTCTTTTGTGTCATCAAATCGCTGTCCTTTCATTTCCCCGCCTTCATTGGCAGGAACAAAAGGAAGTCACACGGAGTGAGGTCAAGCGAGTAAGTACATGGGGTAAGAGAGGCATGCTGTTTTTTTGCCCAAAACTGGTGCATTGAGATGGCACACAGAGCAGGTGCATTGTCATGGTGGCAAAACCAGTCCCCATCTATCACAATTCAAGCCTTTTTAAAAAAGTTTATATTTATTTTATTTAATCATTTCATTGGGGGCTTTTACAGATATAACAGTCCATACATCCAAAAATCAGGCCTTTTTTTGGTTACGTGCTGTTAGGCAATCTTTACAGTACCTTTAAATAGAAAGCTTGATTAACAGTTTGACCTGGTGGAATGAACTCCAAATGCAGTGTACCCCTCACATCAAAAAAACAAATTAGCATCGTCTTGATCTTGAGCTATTTTTGAGCGAAGGGATGATGGTGTCTTCCACTGGCTTGGTTGATATTTGCTTTCGAGGTCGTAAGAATAGCACCATGCTCATCACCAGTAACGATCTTGGACAAAACGTCTGGGTTGCTTTGGAGCTGTTATTTCAAAGCACGGCAAGTTTCCACTGGAAGGCTTTTTTCCTGGTCAATCAGAACCTGAGCGACAAATTTCGCAGCAACCCTGCTTATTCACAAATCTTACATTAATATTCGCCAGATAACCTCCCTGTGGTAGTTACATAATCTGGTGTCAACTCGAAACTATTAAGAGTGAAGGAGTAGAGTTTAGCCTGTCAATCAGGTCGCAGCTTGATGACCTAATCTGGAAGTGCTATGGAGATAAATGGCTCACTGGAGGCCAGACCCACACTCCCTGTAAGACATTCCTGTTGACAAGCTACATGGAGCTACACTGATAGAGCCAGAGCCCTGGAGCTGGTGGAGCCATGTAGAGACCCACACCAACGCTGAAATGCTTCCATCACTACTGGATCCATAAGACTTTCCACCCATTGGCTTGTGATCTTCCTGAATTCAGCATCATTGCGTGTGTTGCATGGGTCTGAAGAGGAATTTATAGACTGGTATTGGACAGATGGGCTAATGTCAGACTTATGGACTTGATCTGGACGGGGCAGGCATGTTTTCTTAATGTACAGTTACTCTTCTTATACACATTCTTATACACGTTCTTATACACATATGAGTGTATGAATTTGTTTCTCTAGTCAGTACAGACTAACACATTCCCTATCTCTTCAGTGGTCTGTTGTCAGTCTGAACACAAGTGCACAAATTTGTTGACATTTTTATCCATTTGGGAAGACGATAGATGTCCAGAACGAGGTTTGTCATCAATTAACATTTCACCTATTTTCAAACTAGAAAACCACTCATACACTTGATTTTTTTCCGAGCAGGAAACAAAATATCACACACCATTGTCCTCTATCAGCCAACACAAAAAAACATGGTTGGAGCAAAACTGCTTTTATGAAAAAATTCACTGTGACTGGCAAGAGAGAACCTGTCCAGGCGATGCTGCTGGGTGCACTAACTCAGGAGTTGCTTGAGGCTTGCCCAGCAGGACAAATGCCTAGGAAAGCTCTGCCCAGCAGAGCTTTTTCTGTTTGTTTGTTTTTTCAGTACCTCCTCGTATATAGAAGAAATACAACAGTTATTACACAACTTCACTCAAATAAAATATTAGAACTTTAATAGAAGGCCAGAATCAAAGATGAAATGCAAATCATTTAAAACTTTAAGAAAATTAGAAAACTTTCATCCTCATAAAGTAAATGCAATTTTATCAATGAAATGTCAATTTTACTAATACATTAGCTAAATTTGTTTATCATAGTAAAATGCACAGCAAAGTAGTTCTCCCCTCTTACCTACTGGTGAAATTACAGATTAGTATGATCTGTAAGCAAAGTAATTTTAAAACTACACTCTGAGCCATAAAAATGTCCATAATCTTTGATTCAGTATTCCCACCTGTCAAAATTTAAACCAAGGAAAAGATCAGAAATTTATATTAAAATATTTGCCTAAAGATATTGAGTGCAGCTTTATTAAGGTAGATAAAAAGAAAACAAGCTAAATACTGACTAATAGGGAAATAATTAGGCGAGTCATATTACACTTGAGCAGAATAAATAACCACCATTGTGGCTTTTTAGGAATAATAGGAATTTTGATGACTTCAAAAATACTTATGAGATATGTAAAAGGAGGATCAAATTGCATTTAATATAAACTATATAAAAATAATTAAGAAAAGGGAAATGAATTACACAAATGCTAAGGTTGCATTTAAGCCTTCCAAAAAATGTTTTTTATATGGAACATATTTTCTAATAGGAAAAAGTTGAAAACTTCGGTATCAGGATTTAAGAATTTGCTGACTCAAGATATTATCTTTACTTTCTAGAGTAAATTTCATAACAAAAATTAGTGAATAATCAGAGACCTAAGTGTAAAACGCAAAATTCAGGATCATCACTGAAAAAATGGAGACAAACCTAAGGGTCCTGTCTAACAAATTATGGATTGACTTTGCAGCAAGATCTTTGATTCGATTATTTGAATGCAGCTCAGAATGTTATACCCTGACTACAGTTTTCTACATTATCAATAATTCTTTAGAAGTGTTTCTTCAGATATCTGGCCTGATTTAAGGTTCAAAAACCTCTCTTTGTTTTCTTTTAAGAATGACCCTTTTGGTAGTTAGTAGTCCAACACTTCCCTCACTTTGCCACCAAGGCTTCTCAGTAAGTAACAAAAAAGTTACCTAGCTTATTTATTGAGTTATTGCATCTTACTGGGGCTTTGGTTAGATGATTTGTTAACATACCATTGGTCACCCAGTGATATTGTGACAAAGAAGCTTTTACTAGTGATTGATGATGAACATAGAATTTAATTTTCAAGTATTTGATGATTTATTAATATTGAGGTTAATATATTTGAGCGTTGACATTATTGCATATGTTGCACGTATATTTCATGTGCTCTTAATTTATTCTGTTCAAACAGAAGCAATCCAGAGAATGAGACCGTCCACATCCTAAGTGTGGATGAGAAGAACAAGTTGGGAGCCAAGATTATCAAGGCAGAGATGATGGGAGATATGGTAAGGCTCTCAGATGCTGCTCTTTGGGAGACTAGTGCTTAGTATTTAATGTCCTACGAGTAGTTCTGGAAGTAACATGGTTGCCACTTTTTGATTCCTTCAAGAAATGCTCGAAACAGTACTGTCTCTCCACATTTAAATAATTTTATACCTTTGTCAGGTTTGAGGAACTGAAGATCTCAGAGAATTACTTTTTCTTGTTTTACTTCGCTATTTGCTTTTATTCTTACATATCTAATTTATTGAGCACATCTGAGGGAAATAAACATTTCCCTTTTTATATATTATCCAGGACACTTATG